CCAAGGCCCTCCGCCTCACCACCTCCCTTGCCTCCTTCAAGACCCGTCTCAAAACCCTCGTCTTCGACCATGCCTTTGGTCACCCTGCTCCCGCCACTCTCCACCCTCCCCGATCCAAACCCCCAGCTTGGGTCCGAAACACTGACTGTCCAGCGACTTGGGACCTCCTCCCGATGTGAAAGGCGCTATATAAATGCAATTTTGTTGTTATTGTTGTTAACAGTAAATTTACAATATATTCTGTGAAGTGATTTGAGATGTTTCAATGACGTGATAAGGCGCTATATCAATTGCAAGGATTATTATTATTGTATATTTTCTGTGGTGCTGGCTAGAAGGCAGGGCCATGACACTGAAATGGTTAAGAGAGAACACAGTCTGTGTTCACCATCGCAGAGAATGAGGTCACCTCGCATAACCTACAACAGGGTGCGTGCTGTTCGGCATGTAGACACGATCTGCTTTAGCTGCTTATTGATGTGATACTAAGCCAGCCAGCCTGCACAAACCTGCCTCCCACATCCCGACCACCATCCTCATGGCTACTCTGCTCCCCCCTCCCCCTGCACAATCCCCCCTCCCCCTGCACAATCCCCCCTCCCCCTGCACAATCCCCCTCCCCCTGCACAATCCCCCCTCCCCCTGCACAATCCCCCTCCCCCTGCACAATCCCCCTCCCCCTGCACAATCCCCCCTCCCCCTGCACAATCCCCCCTCCCCCTCCACAATCCCCCTCCCCCTGCACAATCCCCCCTCCCCCTGCACAATCCCCCTCCCCCTGCACAATCCCCCCTCCCCTGCACAATCCCCCCTCCCCCTGCACAATCCCCCCTCCCCCTGCACAATCCCCCCTCCCCCTGCACAATCCCCCTCCTCCTGCACAATCCCCCCTCCCCCTGCACAATCCCCCCTCCCCTGCACAATCCCCCCTCCCCTGCACAATCCCCCGTCCCCCTGCACAATCCCCCCTCCCCCTGCACAATCCCCCCTCCCGTCAAGAGATCAAGAGATGCTGAAATGAGACAAGCCTTTAGATAATTATTTGGAGAGGACAAGTTTGCACGGCTATGGGGAGAGAGCGGGGAGTGGAATTGATTTAGAAGCTCTTTTCAAAGAGCCGGCACAGACACGATGGGCTGAATGGCCTCCTTCTGTGCTTCTATGGTTCTATGATTCTATGATCACCTCAATGCCAATGTCTTTCTCTCACTTATCGTCAGATCAAGCCCCAAATCAGTCAATCATAAACACATTATATAATAGTAAGAATCTTTGCATTTGATACAACCCCTATCACATCATTGAGATGTCTCAAACTCTTCACAGAATATACTGTAAAGTGAATTGACTGTATATTTGGGGGGTGAAACGCGGCAGCCAATTGTGCACAACAGTGTTCCACAAACAGTCGTGGATTGAGTGACCACATTTTATTCTGGAGCGATTATTATCCTTCTATTAATAAATTAATTCCACTTCCCAGCTCTCCCCACATCCATTCCTGCTGATTGACCAACTCACAGGATTAGTCTGGATGAAGAATACCCTTTGGGCCATCTGATCTCCTCCCTCCAGAACACTCACCCTACCATTCCCAGATTCACAGCATCCAGCTGTTTTTTAAGTGAGTCGCAGTGTCCTGGCCTCAACCATCCTTTCTGGTAACCTGTTCCAGTCATTAATTATCTGCTGGTAAACTTCCGGGTGTCTGTGCTAAAATTGGGTTAGAACTCTGCAGCCCGTGTCCTCTCCCGCACTAGGCTCCGTGACCTGATCACCCCCATCTTTGCTCAACTCCACTGGCTTCCCATCAACACAGAAGATACAGTTCAAGATCCTGGTCCTCACCTTCAGGGACCTCGATGGTCTTGCTCCCCCCGACCTCTCCGACCTCCTAACCCCCTACCACCCTGTTCGCTCCCTCCGCTCAGTGGGCTCCGACCCGCCTTGCTCGCCCCATTATCGTCGGGTGGGTCTTGAGCCATTCTGCACCCACCCTCTGGAACTCCATCCCGCAGTCCCTCCGTCTCGCCCCCTCCCTCGCCACCTTCAAGACCCACCTCAAGACCCTCCTCTTCGTGCTTTCGATCTCCCTGCTTCCCCCCCGCCCTCCTCTCTCCACCCTACTCCGACCCCCAGCTCGGGTCCGTAACTCTGTCCGTCCAGCACCTTGGGATATCCTCCCGACATGAAAGGCCTATACAAATGTAATTTGTTGTTGTTGTTAGCAACAGGGTTAAGGATGGAGTGGTGACAGAGCAAGAGAGTTTGGCTTACAGGGAATGGGAACTCTTAGGTCAGATTTGATTGGGGAAAGTTCCCTCACCACATAATGAATGTGGCCGCAAGGGAGTATCTCCAACTTGCTCATCTTGTGACAAACTGTTCAGAAATACAAGGGTCACAATCCTTACATTTCAGAGAGCCTTTCACCTTGGGAAGATGTCTCAAAAAGCTTCACAGTGAACACTGTAAATGTGCCCCTGCACTGTCCCAGAAACAGCCGTGATCTAACTCTGTGACCGTCTCTAGCCTGGTTCCTGTGCCAGGTGGATCTGTAGTATTAGAGGGCACTGCCGATCACAGCACAGCCCAGCCTGGCTCATCGGCAGGATCTGGAAGGGCAGACCAGTCACTGGGGTCAGGGAGTCATCCCACTCAGCTCCTGTTAACCCTGCAAACCAAGGCTCCAATGGGTAGGTCTGAGCTGGACACACAGTGGGAAACCTTACCAGACAGTGATATCAATGGCAATCTACGTGGTTTTAGCTAGTTAGGCTTCAACACTTACCCCAAAACACACTGAGTTCAAACCCAAAGTCGGGGACTTTGAGCTCATAGTCAGGTGACAGTTTATAACATGAAGTCCACAAGCCTTGGCTCTTGCCAACCTGCGCTCAATACTCTCTGGAATTAGCTAAGCAGGATGTGTCCTCCTAAGGAGAGATTGTGCATTCCATTCCAGACACAGTAACGTCCATGTTTGGGTGACATGCAGATGTGGAACTCCCACCAGTTTCGATACTCTTAAGCATGGTCATAGGTTTCCCCGTGCGTCAGGAACTTAGATGACCAAAAAATAACCAGCACTGTGTTGGAGCATCAGCCTGGACTGTGAGCTCAAAAATCCACATTGGAGTTTGTATGCACAGCCTTGTGACCCAGTGATGAGAGCGCAAGTGAAAGAACCATTGAAGAAGGCCATTTGGTCCATTGTGTTTGTGCCGCTCCCTCAAGAGCGATCCTTAAAGTAATTCGCTCATAGGACAAACCATTCACCCCCGGTATCATCCCAGTAAATCTCCATTGAGAGACAATCTGATTGAGCCAAGCTGACACTTCTACAGTACAGGGTGTTCACAAAGTCCTGTTATCCACCGCCCCCCCATGTTTATTTTCTACAGGGCACTGACCAATTACTGAAACATGTGGAAGAATGATGCTAACTGTATTTAGAAGCATTTCATTGTATTCAGTACAAGTTGTATTGTTGTATTCGTGGAGTCCTGTAGCTCAGTGGTTAGAGCACTCGCTTTGCAAGTGAGAGACCTGAGTTCAATTCCAGGCAGAGGGCGAAACCTTGGGCAAGTTTCCTTACTCCACACAGAGCCTAATAATAATTCCTCCAAAATCAAAAACAATAATAAATTGGTCATTTTCAATCTACGACTGTTTGTGGGACATTGCTGTGCGCAATTGGCTGCCGCGTTCGCCCACAAATATACAGTCAATTCACTTTACAGTGTGTTCTGTGAAGCGCTTTGGGACGTCCTCCCGACGTGAAAAGTGCTATATCAAATGCAAGGATTATTATTATTATTATTAAGTGTTTAACTGTATTTAGACATCCAGAGGATCATTTTCATGACAGATAATGATCCGTCAACATAGTTGGTGCGACATCGTCTGTAAGATGGACGGAGTGAGGAGGAAGTTACTGGCGTCAGACATTGTTACGCTCGACTTCATCTGCAACAGAAAATAAAAAAAACATTATATAACAGAAACACAGGGTTGGGGCGTAACAGGACTTTGTGAACAGCTTGTGAAGCGCTGGGGTGTGTCTCATGTTATTACAGATGCTGTTTCAAAGTGAAGGATTATTCCCTGCCCAAATGTAGGTCAGAGATGGATGCTGTGTCAGCTGTCAATTTGGAGACTCTCCCTTACAGTCACTTTCCCTGTGTGCTGTGTGTGGGAGGGGTGCGGGGCTGGTGCTGGGGGTGGGGGTTGTGTGGGAGTCCCCATAAGCTGGTGGGTTTAGTCTAAGCTCACATGACCACAGTGATGGGCAGTGATGGTACAGACGTGCATTTCTGCACGTTGGTTTATTGTCAATTCACTGCAAACGCACAGAGAGAGAGAGAGACACAGACACACATTGACTGAGAGAGAGAGGGATACAGACTGTGAGAGAGAGGGATACAGACACACACAGACAGAGAGAGAAAGGGATACAGACACACACAGACTGAGAGAGAGATACACACACAGACAGAGAGAGAGAGGGATACAGACACACACAGACTGAGAGAGAGAGATACACACACAGACTGAGAGAGAGATACACACACAGACTGAGAGAGAGATACACACACAGACTGAGAGAGAGATACACACACAGACTGAGAGAGAGATACACACACAGACTGAGAGAGAGATACACACACAGACTGAGAGAGAGATACACACACAGACTGAGAGAGAGATACACACACAGACTGAGAGAGAGATACACACACAGACTGAGAGAGAGATACACACACAGACTGAGAGAGAGATACACACACAGACTGAGAGATACACACACAGACTGAGAGAGATACACACACAGACTGAGAGAGAGATACACACACAGACTGAGAGATACACACACAGACTGAGAGAGAGATACACACACAGACTGAGAGATATACACACAGACTGAGAGAGAGATACACACACAGACTGAGAGAGAGATACACACACAGACAGAGAGAGATACACACACAGACAGAGAGAGATACAGACACAGACACAGACTGAGAGAGTGAGAGAGAAATTTGAAAGAAAAGGATCTGTTGCCTCCCCCAAAATAAAAGCAGATAGAGCTGAGTGTCCTCGGGATGTCAGTGGGCAGAGCTGGAGAGGACAGTCTGAACAGTAAGTCATCTCATCACCAACAACAACTTGCATTTATACAGCACCTTCACTCGGGCACTTGAGTCAACTCCCAGGACACAGATCACCAGCCCTCCTCCTCTCTTACTTGTACAGTGTTTACTCCCCCCCCCCCCCACTCCCCCCCCCCACTCCCCCCCCCCCCCACTCCCCCCCCCACTCCCCCCCCCCACTCCCCCCCCCCCCCCCACTCCCCCCCCCCACTCCCCCCCCCCCCCCCCCCCCACTCCCCCCCCCCACTCCCCCCGTCACTCCCCCCCCCACTCCCCCCCCCACTCCCCCCCCCCCCCCCCCCCCCCCCCCCCCCCCCCCCCCCCACTCCCCCCCCACTCCCCCCCCCCACTCCCCCCCCCCACTCCCCACCCCCACTCCCCCCCCCACCCACTCCCCCCCCCACTCCCCCCCCACTCCCCCCCCCACTACCCCCCCCACCCACTCCCCCATAGCAGTGATCTGGATATCCAGTACATGTTCTTGTGAAATTTTATTAATTTCTAAGAGATACAAAGTGCTGATAAATGCTGTGGGTTCCGGGTGGAGAAAGTCGCTGTGTTATTTTGTTTGTTTGGGGAGGAGAGGGGGACAAATAAATACTCGTTGCAGCTTTTCATGTGATTATTTGGAAGCAGTGAATACTTTTATCTTCAGGGAATCGTGTGTTTTACAAATAAAACTTCTTATGAGAACTGAGCTTCAGTGTATGTATATATATATCAGAGCTACAGTGTGTGTATGAGAGTGTCACAATGTGTGTGTATGAGAGTGTCACAATGTGTGTGTATTAGAGTGTCACAATGTGTGTGTATCAGAGTGTCATAATGTGTGTGTTTTAGAGTGTCACAATGTGTGTGTATTAGTGTCACAATGTGTGTGTATTAGAGTGTCACAATGTGTGTGTGTATCAGTGTCACAATGTGTGTGTACGAGTGTCACAATGTGTGTGTATTAGAGTGTCACAACGTGTGTATGAGAGTGTCACAATGTGTGTGTGTGTCAGAGTGTCACAATGTGTGTATCAGAGTGTCACAATGTGTGTGTGTATGAGAGTGTCACAATGTGTGTGTATTAGAGTGTCACAATGTGTGTGTATCAGTATCACAATGTGTGTGTATGAGAGTGTCACAATGTGTGTGTATCAGAGTGTCACAATGTGTGTGTATCAGTGTCACAATGTCTGTGTATCAGTGTCACAATGTCTGTGTATCAGTGTCAGAATGTGTGTGTGTGTGTATTAGAGTGTCACAATGTGTGTGTATTAGTGTCACAATGTGTGTGTATTAGAGTGTCACAATGTGTGTGTATTAGTGTCACAATGTCTGTGTATCAGTGTCACAATGTGTATCAGTGTCACAATGTCTGTGTATCAGTGTCACAATGTGTGTGTATCAGTGTCAGAATGTGTGTGTGTGTGTATTAGAGTGTCACAATGTGTGTGTATTAGTGTCACAATGTGTGTGTATTAGAGTGTCACAATGTGTGTGTATTAGTGTCACAATGTGTGTGTATTAGAGTGTCACAATGTGTGTGTATTAGAGTGTCACAATGTGTGTGTATTAGTGTCACAATGTGTGTGTATTAGAGTGTCACAATGTGTGTGTGTATTAGAGTGTCACAATGTGTGTGTGTATCAGAGTGTCACAATGTGTGTGTATCAGAGTGTCATAATGTGTGTGTTTTAGAGTGTCACAATGTGTGTGTATTAGTGTCACGATGTGTGTGTGTATTAGAGTGTCACGATGTGTGTGTGTATCAGTGTCACAATGTGTGTGTATGAGTGTCACAATGTGTGTGTATCAGAGTGTCACAATGTGTGTGTATTAGAGTGTCACAATGTGTGTGTATCAGAGTGTCACAATGTGTGTGTATTAGAGTGTCACAATGTGTGTGTATTAGAGTGCCACAATGTGTGTGTATCAGTGTCACAGTGTGTGTGTGTGTATTAGAGTGTCACAATGTGTGTGTATTAGAGTGTCACAATGTGTGTGTATTAGAGTGTCACAATGTGTGTGTATCAGAGTGTCATAATGTGTGTGTTTTAGAGTGTCACAATGTGTGTGTATTAGTGTCACAATGTGTGTGTATTAGAGTGTCACAATGTGTGTGTGTATCAGTGTCACAATGTGTGTGTACGAGTGTCACAATGTGTGTGTATTAGAGTGTCACAACGTGTGTATGAGAGTGTCACAATGTGTGTGTGTGTCAGAGTGTCACAATGTGTGTATCAGAGTGTCACAATGTGTGTGTGTATGAGAGTGTCACAATGTGTGTGTATTAGAGTGTCACAATGTGTGTGTATCAGTATCACAATGTGTGTGTATGAGAGTGTCACAATGTGTGTGTATCAGAGTGTCACAATGTGTGTGTATTAGAGTGTCACAATGTGTGTGTGAGAGTGTCACAATGTGTGTGTATTAGAGTCACAATGTGTGTGTGAGAGTGTCACAATGTATGTGTATTAGAGTGTCACAATGTGTGTGTATCAGTGTCACAATGTCTGTGTATCAGAGTGATACAATGTGTGTGTATGAGAGTGTCACAATGTGTGTGTATTAGAGTGTCACAATATGTGTATCAGAGTGTTGCAATGTGTGTGTGTATGAGAGTGTCACAGTGTGTGTGTATCAGAGTGTCGCAGTGTGTGTGTGTATCAGAGTGTCGCAGTGTGTGTGTGTATCAAGAGTGTCGCAGTGTGTGTGTATCAGAGTGTCGCAGTGTGTGTGTATATGAGAGTGTCACAGTGTGTGTGTATCAGAGTGTCGCAGTGTGTGTGTGTATCAGAGTGTCGCAGTGTGTGTGTGTATCAGAGTGTCGCAGTGTGTGTGTATATCAGAGTGTCACAGTGTGTGTGTATTAGAGGGTTAGAATGTGTGTATTAGTGTTACAATGTGAGTGCATTAGTGTTACAATCTGTGTGTGCATTAAAGTGTTAATAATAATAATTCTTGCATTTGATATAGTGCTTTTCATGTCTTCGAGACATCTCAAAGCACTTCACAGAATAGACTGTAAAGTGAATTGACTGTATATTTGTGGGCGAACGCGGCAGCCAATTGCACACAGCAATGTCCCACAAACAGTCGTGGATTGAAAATGACCAATTTATTATTGTTTTGTTTTGGAGGGATTATTATTAGGTGTGTGGAGTAAGGAAACTTTCCCAAGGTTTCACCCTTCCTGGAATTGAACCCAGGTGTCTTACTCAAAGCGAGTGCTCTAACCACTGAGCTACAGTGTCTGTATCAGATTGTTACAAGGTGTGTGTATCAGAGTGTTACAGTGTGTGTGTATCATAGTGTTACAATGTGTTACAATGTGTATTATTAGTGTGACAATGTGTGTGTAATAGATTGTGTTACAATGTGAGTGTGCATTAGAGTGTTGCAATATTTGTGAGTGTATCAGAGTGTTGCAGTTTGTGTGTAAGATAGGTGGTGGCAATATAAGCCGATGGTAGAATCGTAAAGGGGGTGAAGGAACAGAGAGACCTGGGGGTTCATATCAGTAAATCTTTGAAGGTGGCAGGACAGGGAGATAAAGCTGTTAAAAAAACATACGGGACACTAAGCTTTATAAATAGGGGCAGAGAATACAAAAGTCAGGAAGTTATGATGAACCTTTATATAAAACACTGGTTGGGCCTCAGCTCGAGACTGTGTTCAGTTCTGGGCACTACACTTTAGGAAGGATGTCAGGGCATTGGAGAGGGTGCAAAGGAGATTTTCCAGGATGGTACCAGGAATGAGGGACTTCAGTTATCAGGAGAGGTTAGAGAAGTTAGGATTATTCTCCTTGGAGCAGAGAAGGTTAAGAGAAGATTTAATAGAAGTTTCCAAAATTATGACGGGATTCGTTAGGGTGAACAAGGAGAAACTATTTCCACTGGCGGGTGGGTCGGTAATCCGAGGGCACCGATTTACAATAGTTGTTAAAAGAAACAGAGGGAGATGAGGAGAAATATTTTCACACAACGAGTTATTCGGATCTGGAATATATTGCTTGAAAGAGTGGTGGAAGCTGAATCAATATCAACTTTTAAGAGAGAAGTAGACAATTATTTGGGGAGGACACATTTGCAGGGCTATAGGGAGAGAGCGGGTGAATGGGATTGATTTGGATAGCTCTTTTCAAAGAGCCGGCACAGACACAATGGCCCGAATGGCCTCATTCTGTGCTTTGTGATTTTATGATTTTATGATATATGTGTGTGTGTGGCAGAGAGTTAAAATCTGTGTGTATCAGAGTGCAAAAATGTGTGTGTGGATCAGTGTTACAATGTGTGTGTGTGTCTACCAGTGTTGCAATGTGTGTGTGCGTGTGTGCACAAGTGTTCCAGTGTGTGTGTCTGCATCAGTGTTACAATGTGTGTGTGTGTGACTGTGTGCATCAGTGTTGCAATGCGTGTGTGCGCATCAGTGTTGCAATGCACGTGTGCGCATCACTGTTGCAATGCATGTGTGTGCATCAGTGTTACAATGCATGTGTTTGCATTAGTGTTGCAATGCGTGTGTGCGCATTAGTGTTACAGTGTGTGTGAGTGTGTGCGCATCAGTGTTACAATGTGTGTGTGTGCGTACGCATCAGTGTTACAATGTGTGTGTGTGCGCACGCATCAGTGTTACAATGTGTGTGTGTGCGCACGCATTAGTGTTACAATGTGTGTGTGTGCGCACGCATCAGGGTTATAATGTTTTTATGTGCGCATCAGTATTACAGTTTGTGTGTGTGCATCAGTGTTACTGTGCATGTGTGTGTGTGTGTGTGCATCAGTGTTACAATGTGTGTGCGTGCATCAGTGTTACAATGTGTGTGTGTGCATTAGTGTTACAATGTGTGTGTGTGCGCACGCGCATCAGTGTTACAATGTGTGTGTGCGCATCAGTGTTGCAATGTGTCTGTGTGTGAATCAGTCTCGCTGTGTCATATTCTCAATTATTTAACTTTGCTTTCTGTCCTGGCAAAACTATGGTCAGTGATTCATTTTT